TTTTAGGAAGAAGGTCAAGTATTTGCTGGTCTTGTTCAAGCAATGTATGATACAAATACAGTTGCTATTGTACGTAAATGTTTTAGTGAAAGAAGTTCACCTGAATTAGGATTTTTACGTCCACATATTGCTCACGATCATATTGTAAGTATGAAATTGAAGCTTTTTTTTTTTAAATTAATACAATGAAGATAAACTTGTCTTTTTTCTCACTAGTGTATGTATTATGTTAAATTACCATTTGGAGAAGATGTACGTGAATTTGATTTTGATAATCTTGATGGTATTAAACGAAATCAACCGAGTGATGAACAGTTAAAAACTATTGATAATTTAATTACAACAATGGATTTGACACATGCTGATCAAGGGTAAGAATTTAAGAAAATAGAAAAAAAGAAAAATGAATTATTTCTATTTAATAGAGGTGAAGAAGCATTTCGACCAGAACTTATTTTTAATCCATATATTCAACGAATGTTTCAAGTATGTATATCATTTTTGTTGTATGATTTTATTTCAATTAAAAATCATTGTAGTCTATTGCTCGACGTGCTGTAACACCTGAAGAACCATTATCATTATCAAATTCAATTATGGAAATGAATGATACATTAATTCGATCGATTGCTTCAAAGAGTAAACGAACATTAGATACACTTCATGAACAATTTACTCTTCGAGATACTGAACGTCGACAAAAAATAACAACCGGTGATCAACTTTTTGGTAATGTTGATAAGTAAGAAAAAACATCCGAAAAAAGAAGGATTTATCATACAAAGAGAATATTTTCTTATTTTTTAGCTCAACGAAAAAAATGCGTCTTGAAGAAAATGAAAATGTTGAAGAACTTACAACAGATTCAACATCATTTGAAGCACAATTAGCTGCAAAAAAGAAAGCAGCAATACGAACTATTGGTACAATAACACCAGTTGAAGATTTTAAGATTTTAATTGAACAAGGTTCAACATCATTTACTGAACTATGTCAACAAATGTCTACACTTATAGTTGAATTTATTAATAATTCACGTGGTGATGCATTATTTGATAAAGCTTTACAATGTATACAATGTTTACGTGAAATATGTATTCAAAAATTAGAACCAAAAATATTTAATGGTTTATTAATTTCAATTAAAAAACAAGCAGCCAATAGTGATGGAAGAAAAGATTTTTGGAAAAAAATTGTTGATGGTATGTGATCGATGAAGTAAAAAGAAGAGGGAGCTCGTTATAATATAGAGTAGAATTTTAAAAAAAAACTATGAGTAAGATAGTTTTAGTTCCACCTGCATTGAGTCTATGCCTTGAACCATCATGTTTTCATTGGGAGTGATATCTGTTATGTTTGTGTAAAACGTACATTAAACTTCATATAGTGTTAAGATTTTTCAGATCTAAAATTGTTTATCTATTTTTACGTTGAGATTATATAAATGTTAATGAGAAATGAATATGATCTGACTGAAATACGAAAACTTTATCGAGACAAAGAAGTAGTATTTAACTTAGCATTGAGAAAATTGTGAACAAGAATAGTCATGTGTATTATAAAAGTTTTAATAGAAATTCTAAAGAGATCAAAGTACTGTGCTGAAGAAAATTCGATGTATTAACGGAATCAAGATAATCATACAATAATTATGATCAATGTTACCAAGAGTTCGTTAGTTAGGTTAAAACATGCATCATCCAACATACTACACCACTTATGAGTTCATGTCTTGAGCGTATAAAAAGGCTCTCTAAACTAATATAACTTTCAAAGACTTCTGTTCGATAGCCTTTCTCTAGAGACTTACGATAGTTTTGTGGAATTGTCACTATAGGACACAGTACTAACAATTGAATTAAACAAAAAAAAAATTTGACATTATATTTTGTCTATTACTTTCAGTTAAAACGATCAAAAAAGTTTCGAGTTTTTGGATTTCGAATGTTTCAGGAAGGAAACAATCATGTTGACTGAAACACTTCTAGAAACTTTCAGATAAAAAAATATCCTTCTTTAATTTATCTGCTCATACTTTGACCTTTGGAGAAAATTCAACAGAAAAAAATCAATCTTTGAATAAAGATTATTTTTTGTAGAAGTAAACCGAGCATAAATAGCTTAGAATCACTCTCAGTTGAATATAGATCCTCAAACAGATGATCAACGCCCGCAGTCACAATAAATAAACGCACTTTTCTTTTCCCGGTGTCGATATAGAACTAGTCTTTACCATTGTCAATAAGTTTTAAACATTTACATGATGACCCATTTAGTTATTGATAGTCTCCTTTTTATATTCTCAACAAGACACGAACAATATAAATTCCGTTAGCTATACAGTCTTAGTGAAATAGTTTTCCAGTTCCGACATGACCAGAGTCATTGTCTTTTGATGATATACATTATCTTTCATCTACATAAAAACATGTTGAAAATTCTTATTCTATTTTTTTTTAGAAAAAATCAGTTTAATAACAAGCGACGAATGTATTGAATCAAATGTGATATCTATTGAAGCACAGAAATTTCTCGAAGAAAACACGTCAACTGAAATTGTTAATAATGCATTAATAACTAATGAAGACGATGGTGACGAAGAAGATCTGGTATGTAGATAACATTTTCTTGTTATAAATTATTTTTCTTCCTTTTTTTCTATTTCAGTTCGATCTCATTTAAAAGCAACAGAAAAGAAAAGTTACAGTGACATATAACAAAATTTTATGATATATGTTTTTAGTTAAATTTTAACTCTAGAAAAGAATATATTTTGTATATAAAATATTGTTTGTGATATGCTTTTATTTTTAAAGAATGTAATAATCAATTTTAAAAGAAAAACAATAAAAATAAATCGTATATTTTTTCTTTTGTATTGTCAACTAAAATGTTTGCTTTTGTTTTGTCAACGATTGGTAATAAATTCCTTAAGTTGATGCTTCAAATATATTAACAAGAAGTAATTGTAAACATAAATGATTTGCTGTAGCTTCAGGTAACATCTAGTAGTTGTCGATATTCTATAGGAGAATTGACTATTTCCTATGTGAATTTGCATTTATACAAAGCTATTAAAATGATAATCGTATACGCAGCTAGTTTGCGACTAAAATGTGAAACTCACACGTGTTCGTTAATTTCATTATACTAATACAATCTCGAGAGAAATTATGTGTCAAACAGAAATTTCTCGTTTTTTTAGTGACGCTCTATATTTTGTTTGACTTGTTGCTATTCGCTAATGATCTTTCATTTCCATATTGTATTTTTCTCAAAATAACATTATTATTATTCTTCTAACCGTTGGTTTAACTGGCATATCAGAGTGGTATACATATACAATGTCTCTACAGCAGGTATCAACACTAGAGTTGTATGGGACCAAGGTTTATTCATATTACATCTAAAATAATTCTTTAATACTCATTTTTTTGATTTATTTAGTCGACGATTAGCGTGAATCATCTCTCTTGAATTACGCTGTGATTCATATGATTTATAAGATAATTTGCTTGAATCGAAGAATATAATACTAGAAACTTGAGCTCTGGTCTTGATGAGGTTTTATTTTTTGGTCTTGCATATTTCTAATGAACACACTACTATATATCTCGGTGAGCTCAAAAACACTGATATTGAGTATTTCTCATAGTTATAACTTGGCCATGTGGCTAATCGATGCATTACCTCTCACCCTCGTGGATATCTTGAAATATAAATTTTTATTTGCGCAAAAATAAAAAAAACTGCTATTTAGAACATCTTCCAGTCATTCAAATTTCGAGGAAGACTTTGAAATGTTTCACAATAGTCTTCGTGTTTGTTGTTCATGCGTCTTTTTCCCTTGCTAAGAAACTTTAGGGAAAAAGTCTGACACTTGTTATAGTCGCTTGTTATGGAAAAGTATCCAAGAATCGTTGGTCTTTCTCTTCCTTCTCGTTACTATGAAAAACATACTCATTGGTCTTCGACCTCAATTGGTAGGACCAAAGAAAGGAAAGAACGACTGAAATCTCGATTTTAACTTCCATTCACTGTTTTCTTCGAAAATATGTGCGAGTTTGTACAAGAAAGTATAGAATGAGTAATTCAGATTAATTTTGTATTATTGAAATTATATGAAGACATCTATTAAAAATGTCATGAAAATAATTTTTTGTTAAAATCATACAATAAAATTTATGAAAATGCTTGTCTTAATTTACAATGCAGAAATATATCAATTTTAATATCCGTTTCATCATTAGAAATACAATTTCTCAAGGCTACAGGTGTATTCCTACGAAACCTTCTTTTACTTTTATTTGAATAGAAAGCCATAGAATGACACTAGTAGAACTACGTCCATGCCAGCAGCGAAATCGTTACCAATAGAAAAAAATTCTGTTGCTCATCAGTCCAGTGTTGGTATGGATTTCGAATCAATCGGTTCGGTCTGATCTACTTAAAGTGGTATCGATCGTGAAATATCTAGATTCATTCCATCTCTGACTCAAGCTCACGAACACCAGAGAGAAATGCTCATATGCATATATATCGTACGCATCCAGAGTAAAGAACAGAAAGAGAACTAAAGCACGATAAAATAAAGATGCGAAAAGTGACATTTATAACAAGAAAAGTTCGTCATTTAGATTTCCATCGAATTTTATACGTGAATTCTTCAGTGATTGTGCTAACAGCTTTTGCTATCAATAAAATAATTAGTTTTCTTATTATTTTTTCAAATAAACTCTCAAGTTTGTGTTTGAACACGTCGAAAATAAATTATATTCCTGTTATTTTCATATCATAAATATAAAAATCTACAAAACGTGACAATGAAAATTTCTCAAAGAGTTTTTTTTCTTGTTTTAAATATTAATATAAAATTGTTTTTTTTTTATTCGCATATATAAAAAATACTCAATATTTCTCAATATTGTCATAATAAAATGATGTCTGTTATCTATCTTTTAAAATTCTCTTTTCTTATACATTTTTCTACAAGTTCTTATATGTATGGTATAATACATAATGCATCAATTGAAATTCCTTTTGACATGCCTGATAATCTTACTGATAAATTACAAGTTCAACATTGTGATCAATGTCTTTGTAAAGCATTTAATAATCCTGATGTAGTTTTATTAACATGTACTGAAAGTGAATCAAAGAAGTTTACTTGTCAATTTTATTATTTTATGCCTACAAAAGATGATATTAGATATCCAAAATATGATACAAATATATATTTAATACAAAATAAAACATTTAAAGAAAAAGATGATTGTTGCAATACAACATATCTTATTGAAAAAATTAATGCAGCATTAGATACTAAAAAAGCCGTTTTCAATCAACCCTTACGTTTCCTTGTTCGTGGTGATAATAATACGATAGTTTCAACATCTATAAACAAGTTAATTAAATTTAATACATTAACCCTTACAATAATCAATGAATTGAATATTCCAGAGTCTAAAACTGTTGGTTATTGTGATGGATATTATTATCTTGGTAAAGACAAAACAATACATGTTTATGATAAAACATTAACTTTAAACATAACAAGCTTTTCAGTTGGAAATGTTTTAACACCAATTCGTTGTCTTCCTAATAATACACAGATGCTTATAGGTACCACATCAGAAGCTTATATTTGTGAAAAGCAACAAGAAGTTTTTAATAGTTGTATAAATATTACAGCAATATCTGCTATTCAGCAACAAATACATGCTTTTGGTATTGTTAATGACAGTGCATTTTATACTGGTTGGGATGCAAAAAATCAGAATATTCGTTTATATACGAAAGATCAGAATAATCTATGGATAGAAAGTGATGGTATTAATCAAACTGATAAAATATCAGATATTGTTATTGATGATTGTAAACGGATATGGGCAGTTCTAGCAGAAACGAGGACAATAATTATCTATGATCAAAATAAAACTCATTACCACAATATTACATTTAATCAAACGGTATTTAATTCAAATATATTTAATCTTTTCATTCTTGACAATTATGCATTTGTTACGTCGCATGAATCTACGCCTGGTTTGAATCTTATTCAACCATCTCTAAACTGTCGAATAATACGTTAAACAGATAATAGATGTACTTGTATCGAAATGATTTTGATAAACTATTCAATAAATAAATCGATATTAAAAATTGATTATATAGAATGAAAAGAAAATTCAATACAGTTTAGCAAACTAGATAAAAACTGATTATCATTGCCATCTTGAAAATTATTATAAAATTCTATCACATAAGTATAGATAAACATCATTGTGACCTCGATGTACATTTCAACATATATAATAGAGATTGTCGGAAAATAGCACAGATCTGAAAAGATAGCAGTACTTTTAGTAAGTGTTCTCGATTCACACAAGTTATTCTGTAGTCATTAAAACAACTTCCAAAAACAGCAACTAAAAAGAAAGGTTTTGATTCAATCTGCCTACCATAAAAGATATTATTCACAGGTTATTTCTATATTCTCGTTTAATCCTGTAGCTCTAGGCACTAAGCCAGTAGCGTTGATATTGAGTAAATCATTAGAATAGCTTATACAAGTGCTAATTATGACAGCAATATGATTAAATACGACTGTAAGGCTTTCGATAATTTTTGAATAAAGAAAGACACATACATGGGCTTCTAGAATGGGCAAGTAAGAGCTTTCTCGATTACACGTATAGCGAATATGGCACCTAAGAAGGGGAATTATGCGTAAGATTAATTTAGAACATCTGTTCAACGTTGTCACAGAATAATGATTGAATATAAATGAGTGCACTTCTTACATAATATTGAGGGCAGAAGAAATTATATATATATAGTTCATCTTCGAAGAGAAGAACAGGTAGTCATTACCATCTTAATACAACACATTTTATCTAAAATGACGAAAGTGGATCAGACTGTCTTTTTTGCTCTCAAAATGTTTCATTTTTTCGGTATTAAAATCAATTCAGTGACGATGCCCGATAACATTGTAAACTTTCATTTTAAAAACACTTCTCGATCAGTGTATTAAATTACATCCGTAATCCTCTAAGAAGTCAACAAAAACTTGACTATCTATTCAGGAATACTATTGAAATAAACCGTTGCAAGAATATTAGGCATCGCTGCTGAAATGATTTCAAGACAAAAAACTGAAACATTTTGTGGTAGATAAGCGTTCTTATCCACATTCATTTTTATGAGTGCTACATATTCGAATACGAGCACTTCGAGTATTTTGTCCAGCTCTACTGGAGAACTTAACAAATCCATGGTGCGTAGTAGAATTTGATACTGTAGACATCATTAGATAGAAAAAGGCTTTCTATACTGGCCTATTCATATCCGTGTTGCAATCAATACCTTATAGCCACCTTTGAGTGAAGTCATTTCATTATGAAGATGCAGAATGCGCTTCTTGCAACTTTGATCGGAGATATTGAAAACAACAATATAGAAAATAAACAGATCGGATACAAAATGTTGATAACTGACGTGGGAATTTCCCACTATCTTCTTGATGAAAAAATGAAAAAATCAAACAGACCAATTTGAATCAAATGTTTATTATTAAAAAAGAAATACTGCAAGACATGTAAAAAGGCTTTTATATCTTACGTTATCAACATTAACTAATGCTTCTTGTAATAAAAAGAGAATCTACTTAAAACTCCATTGGCAATACCTTGATTCAATTTACTAACGCCGCCAGTCTCTCGCATTCACACAATACCAAAAACCTTTTTTTGCTATTTGATGAGCATTATCAGAACCTGCGCTTTTAATACATGCTCTCAATTCAGCAGCTGTTATTAGCAGTGTCGAATAAGGACTGTAAACTTAAGGTTTTATATTGTCGAAGGACTATCTAATTTCTTTTTTTTGCATGTCACATCGTGACTTGTTTAAAGAAATCAGAAATTGATTGATTTTTTGGTCAAGTTAAAATTAAAAAGAAAAGTGCTTTCGAAAGCAAATCTATAAATTGAATATTACGAAAGTCTTCATTTCTTTGCTAGATCATCTCTTTCACGTTCCGTATTATCAAATTTGATTTGCATAACTTCTTTCTCTTGGTTGTTTTGTGCACGAAGCATGGGTAGTTTTTGCTTCAATGCTTTATAGTTTGTTTTCTACTGTGAATACTACCATCCGAATTCATTATTAGGAAAATAGCAAACTGAATATCGAGATGAAATCGATTTTATCCCTTAACGATCGCTCTTCCTCACAACAGAAAAACATTGAGAAAGAACATTGATGTAAACCAGCTATGACATCATGCAACAACCAATCAGTGGTATTATTTACATAAATGAATGTCATACGTTTGTCCCCAGCTGCAAAACAAAAATATAAATTTTCTCTCAGCCATGTTTTCCCTTCTTGTTTTTTCTGTGTCATCATATTATCTTACTTGTGGGGAATATCTTTCCTCTAATCAACTTACTGTTTCTTTTGACGACACAATTAGATAACGCTGTAAGTTGTTCTTTATCAATACTTGATCAGAACTCTTATAGATTCATTCATTGTTATCTTCGACAATCTCGATTTCGATAGTCTTCTTCAAGAAAAACACAAACACGACTTTATACAACCCAGGTAGAGTAGTCAAGAATAAATCAATGTCTTTCTCACATCACCATCATTGTTGTTGTTAGAAAACTTGTCATGAGATCAAATCTATGCGAAAAAGCGTTCTCGAATAACAGCTTTGTGACCAATAGCAACACTAAACGAAAAATTTCCTTATAAGAAGTATAGATCATTGTCAAAATCTGGAACCGTCCCATAAGTCTTGTAAGTAGCAGTGTCTAGAGTTTTGAATAATCTTTGATGAAGAATTGAAAGCTCGTTAATTCAATATTTTCTTTAAAACGTTTAAAAATATCTATCCGTATGTCAGAGTTTAAAAAGAGAAACCTGTTTCAGTTATTCAATAGTGTAATGTCGAACTTATTAGACACATAATCGTTGTTTTGAACATGCAACTCAAGATGTTGCTTTTCAAAAATATTATTCATCTGTCATAATTCAAACTATAACACGTATTTGACGATGACTAGAAGTCATTGGATATTTTTGACAATGATATTCTGTGAATATGATAAAGAAATCATCGAATAGAACCTCCGATCAATAGAACTCCATATTTTCGTTTCAGACACCTTGGAAAAATAACGACGGAAACTATAATCGAAGTCACAAAATGGTGAATACTATTTTATATTGGACTTTATTTGGAGTTTTGATTATCAACTGTGAGTTTATTGAGTTTTCAAGTGCTAATAATCAGTTGAATGGTGGTTTGGTTTCTGGAGTTCATACAACGTATCATGGTGCTCACGAAGCAGGTGCATGCGAACTTCCAGCATCCAATTATGCCATTAAGTACTCAGTTGCATTGGGAAATATTGAGTCTTTGAAACATTTGAAATTTCGACCAGAATTATGTGGTCAAGTTCTCACAATTAATTGTGGGAATGGACCGCTGGATGTCGTTATCATGAACTCGAATTATGGTGGTGGGCTTGATCTTTATGCTTCGACTTGGAAGAAGCTCACTAACAATATCTCACCTGGAGTAACGTCATGCAGTGTGCAGTTGAGTTCTCGTAACGCTTTCCGATTCAATGGACCACGTTGTTACTACAAACCTGATAGTGGTTTCGGCAATGAGTATTACCGAAATGTTGGACTTTTCAACACAAATGGACGTATAGTCGTTAAAGCCACTATAGATAACCGTCCTGGGGAGCATCGAGGAGACAATCCTTTCTTTGCATTCAACTTTGGTCCGATCAGTGTCAACAAACAAGTTGTTTTTACTTTCGAAGATAGAGGCACCCACACAGTTTATGTGCGCGATTGTCACTATCCAAGAAATAAACAATTTTGGAGTTAAATGAACAGGATTAGACCCATTTCTGACCAATACCCCTTTTATTTCTAAAATAAGCATGACATTGAACTTCTATCCTTTCATTAATTTGTACGCAAGTTGTATGTATTCACAAACATGAATTTAAGTTAAAAAAACCTAAAAGAACACACAACGCAACGAATTCTTTTTTTCATATTGCAATCATGACATATTAACGAATGGATCATCTCTTGAAAACGAAACTGAGTATATGAATCAGCTGACGATTATGAATTATGATCTATCAACGGTGCCTAAATGAGAACATTAATCACTAACAAGTATTTTTTTTCGTGAGTGGAATATCTATCGACAGAATTCATCATTTGAGAAAGAGAACAGAAGGGGTATTCCAAAAAAGTGCTTTATGTGGTAAGAGAAGCTCTCTGATTGATTTTTATGGAATCAAAATGTACAACATACTAGAACTGCTCAAACCGATGGCTTCTACTTCTCTGAACTTTTTCTCAATTTCATGAATGTAATTGTTCATGCTCATCAACATATATATCAATGAAAGAAGTGAAGTACAGTGGTTCTCTCTTATTTGTTCGTTTCCTAGATCAAATAATCAGACTGTAAAATCTTACATGATGTTTACAAGATCATACGAAAATCATAGAAGATCTTGTACGATTTCGTCTGAAAATCTTTTAGCCTGACTTTCTGATAAAGTCGTACATTAAGATTCTTGTATGATCTTGTTATACAATCATGCAAGCAACTGTAAAAGTGGTTCGATTCTAGTACACAGTACATTTTTTAGTTTTTTCTATTAAAGATAATTATGATATTTTTAAAATTCTTTTTCATTAAATTATTCAAATTCTGAACGCTTTACCATGGCTGATCATGAGATCTTTTCGGCTTCCAGTTGATCCGATCCTTGTCAGACTTATGTGAATAGTCCTGTCGGCCATCGACAGAAATCGACATGGGTGTGGGTGTGAGTGGGTGTTGGTGTGGATGGGTCTGAGGGGTATGGGTGTAACTGTTGTGCCCAATGACACCCGCACCCACACCCACTTTCACACCCCACTCCACACCCACACCGACATCCACCTACACCCACAGCCACACCCCACTCCACACCCATACAGCCTGATGAAAAGTCTTGAAAAATAATTTTGACGACAGTGAAAAAATTAATTTTTTGGGAAT